CTTGAATTTTTATGTTCAAAATTTTAAAAATACACACGGGTGCATCTAGTTAATTGTTCAAATAAAATAGTATGACTTTTTTTTAGAAAAGTGACCAAATGTACCCAAAAAAAAATAATAATAATAACTTAAAAACACCTAGTAATAAAACACACAGAGGACATAATTTTTAATTAAGAATTCTTCACCGACTTACGGTGACGAGGGCATCCACCCACTAAACATTACTCTCTTCAACGAGAATTTCCATGGCTTTGAGACAAAAGGCTTTGACTTCAGATTCCTTGAGCGGCTAGCACCTTTTCAGTTGATCTATTTGCTAGTCTAGGTCTTATATTTTCACAGATTCAAACTCTGAAACCCCTCTGATATTCTTTTTGGATTGACAAACTGAAGAGTGATTAAGGGCGCATTTTTTTCTCAACCCCTTCACACGATTCATTAACCATTCTTAAATCCCAACTAGTTTTTGAAAAAGTCTTGATTGGATCTCCACAGAAATCAGCACTGATCGCACTAGTTCCACCAAGAACTCGACCTTTTGTATTAGGATATCCATTTTCCGAGATGAAGAATTATCCCTTTGAGATTGGAGAAGAGTTTCCGCCTGGTTTTGATGAATTTGACCGTAATTAATACGAAAATTAAATACATAATTAGGTTTGAGCGTATTTATCTAATTATTTCTTTTTTTAGAGTATTGAGCCTAATTATCCCTTATTACTTCGCCTCAATCTAATGTCCAAATATACCCATTAACTAATGAAGACAGACGCAAAGGTGTAAAGCGAATCGTGTCAATCAATTTTAGGTAGCGAGTGTCGACCAACCTCAACTTGGCAGGAATATGTGAAAACTACACTCACACATGATTTTTAATTTCTCAATTCAAAAATTAGATTTAAGAGTATTTTATTTAAAAATCAAGGAATAATTTAATTTCTTAATATTAATAATAATATTATAAAATTAAATAAATCTGAAAAACCACCGATTCACCACGCCTCCACTACCCCCAATTGCATAACTTAAATCAATTTCATCTCTCTTTACACTCTCTCTCCTCTCCCTTCTCTATCCTCTCCCTCTCCCTCTCCCTCTCGCTTCTTTATCTGTCATCTGTTTGGCAGACGCAACGGCACTCACAAGCCGCGATGCCACTGCTTAGTAGTGTCACAATGTTTTGTGGTTGTTTTTTCCTTCGATTTGATTTGATCTATTGCTTTGCATGAGTTTCAAGGTGATTTTTGTTGGTGGTTGTTGGTGTTATGCAAATGGTGATGAAAGTAGTGGTGTTGGCAGTTACGATGAGCCAGTGGCAGCGTTACATTCGATTGGTGCCTTTGGTGGATTGGTTGGAGTGGGATAAAGAATAGTTGTGACCGATTATTCGGGTGTTTATGATCAATAAGTTTGTTTATTTGTGACCAGTAAATAATATGTTACTGATAAAATAGATATTTTGTGATCCAATAAATAATATGTGAAAAAATATCAGGCTGTGATTTAATTTATAATCGTAACTCACAATTTGTTAAGCCGTGGACAAGAAATATGTTAAAATTTAGAATAATACTATTTGCAGTCGCTCATTGCGGCAGTCGCCCTACGTGACATACATATGGCAGATGGTTACTTGATGCATTAATGAATAAAAAAACTACCACATTAATGTATCAAATAATCACCTGCCATGTGTATGCCACGTAGGGCGACTATGAATAACATTACTCTAAAATTTATGATATATGATTGAAAAAAAATATGTGATATATTGTAGCAGTATAATAAGTTGTGACTTATAAAATTTGTAATCTGTGATCGATATATAATATATGACTTATTAATTTGATAATTTATGATTGATAAATAAATTGTGATATATAAAATTTGTAATATGTGATTATGACGTTTTGTGATTGTAACTATTATGCAACTGTAATAATAAATTATATAATATTATGACCATAATATATTTAATTAATAAAATAATATTAATTATCTATTTAATTAATAAATTTTAATTATGACCTGATTTTTGAAATTAAAAAAAAATCTTAATTTTGAAATTGTATATATATATATATATATATATATATATATATATATTTTTAATATGTAATTCTACCCCAGAAAACATTGACATTGACACTATCCGAGTCAAATCAAGTTTCTAATCTATGTTAGCAATTCTAAATAAAAAAGACTGACGAATTAAAATTGAGATTATTATTTGAATAACAATATCATACATTTTATGTATAAAGGACGGACAAAAATTAACAACAGAGTGTACATCAATTTGGTTGAAATTCTATACTTAGTGAAAATTGACACTTAATAATACAACTCATAAATGTTTCATATATAAATTTCAATCTAAAAAGTAACTAAGTCCCCATTTAAACCCCATTTTTTCAAGAATACATTTTCTCAAATCTCATTTTCAACTACACATTCTATCATAAAATAATTATACACGTATTTCAAAAAAAAAATCTTACTTTTTAATCACATATTCTCCAAAAAATCACTATTTCATAGTACATTTTACCTCAAAAATGGTGATCAGACATGAGCTTTAAGTATCTTTGACGCTGTTGGATTCCTTGGATTTCGAATTCTCCAATCCCCACCATGGCCCAAGGTGAGGGAACAATCCCTCATCCTACTCTGCTACTACTTGATCGTAAAAATGATACGATTTAACACATTTATCCTTTAAATAAATATTAATAATCAGTGTTCTAAAAAACGTAAAGTGTGATTAGGCGACAAGGTTAAGTTTCAAACTTGTACGAGTCTAAAAAGAAAAAAATATAAAATCTAACTTGATGGCAAGGCCAAAACTCGTGCTTACTTGAACACGTTTTTTAGAATATTGATAATTACTCCAATTATAGAGTTGTTTCCTAATTCTTTTAGAAATTCAGCATACCCTTGAATAAAATGTGATGCATTTCTAAGCAAGCACATGAATACCTTAAATCACTCCATCCATCCAATACAATAATAATATAGCCCAGTAACCTATTTCTGCCGTCGCCTTCACGAGACCTTTATTTCAGCCCTTTCCCTCATTTTCATGCAACGATTCTATGACTTTATGCTCCTTGGACCGGTAAAAGGATTATTTCCTGTTGACCTTCTCATCGATCACACATCCACTCACGTGTCTTTGATCAATCACGGGCAACAACAACACGTAATTCACAAGCAACCAATGAATTTATATTCACGTAAACGCAGTCCCATAATCTAACAAGAATATCTTCTACTTCTACTCCAGATCTTGTTCAAATTTCTAAAGTTTCAAGAAAGTTTAGAATTGTACCTGGTACCACTGTTTTGTTTACTTGTATACTGCCACAGCTCATTTAGGCAATGCGCCGAACATGTTGAGCGAATCATCTTCAGAGGACGGTGTAATCCACAGCATTCTCTCGTACGATACCAATATCATGCTGGCTGCGATTATTTCATTACTACTTGTAGTTATCTTTGTTTTGTTGTTGCATATATATGCAAAATGGTTCTTAGGTCTAGCCCGTCAAAGGGGTGGGACGTCAGTGTCGGTTCCGCAAGTATTGGGGCCTCGGTTTCATCATTTTCACACATTAACAGTTGATACGAATTACGCTATTTCTCCATCCAAGGGCCTTGAATCTTCAACCATTTCTTCGATACCACTGTTCGTGTTCAAAGGAGAGGAACACAAACGTGGACTGGAATGTGTGATTTGTTTGAGTTTATTTGAAAATGAAGAAGTGGGCAGGAGATTACCAAAATGTGATCATGCATTCCATGTTGAATGCATTGATATGTGGCTCCATTCTCATACAACATGTCCCATTTGTCGAGCTCGTGTAGTACCTGACAATACAAGTTCTGCAGATTCAATTTCATCACAAAACGAAGAGATTCTGAATCAGGGGTTATCGGAAAATGAACTGCGGATCAGCAATGTGGATTCTGTATTGGAAATAATAGTGGCAGATCCAAATTCAGAAATCGAAAATGTAGAGAGAAATGATTCATCATCATCGTCCATCGGGAGCTCACTGAAGAGAATGTTTAGCAGGAACAGATCTGAGCGGAAGTTTGATTTACCTAGCGACAGCAATGAATCAAATATTTGAATGTGCATTACCCGGGGGAAAAAAAAAAGAAAAAAAGAAAAAACCAGTCTTTTATTGTGTAGTAATTAATTTATATGATACTTTCATTGAAAACCAATCTTTAATTTTAATAAGAGTGGCTCTGTTTGCTCAATAAGTCGTGTTTAGATAGTAGATACACAAAAATTCTTGATTTGCTTAATAAGTCGTATGTATAGTAGATACACGAAAATTCTTGAGCCTCCATCGATGAATCGGGTTGGATTTTCTTCGAAAGAAATGTTTCCATAAAAATGGTGGATTTTTTTTTCCCACATTCAGAATAATTTTTAGAAGAATAATGTTATATAACAATAGTGGTGTCAATTAAAGGTGAAATTACGTTATTTATTTAATTACATTTAATATCACATAAACTGATGTTATCACATAAGTGGTGTTAAATAGTATTAGTGTATTACTCTTTACAAGAATTTCAACCTATTCATATATTCTCACAAACCACCATATAGAATGTCACATGACACGATTACCATAGTAAGCTCATAAATAACATTAATCCTTAAGAAATTGCATAATATAAACATAGAAACAAAGAAATTTGTAAATAACCTATCATTAACAAAATGCCAATATTTTGGCATAAATGTGCTAGAGAAATTCCTTATTCTGCCACCCCATTTACAACTGCTACCAATCCACACAAACAAATCTCCATGAGAACTACAAATATTATATGCTCTAATTTACTTCCTTTTTACACAGCCTGCATAATCACAAGAAATATACCAATTAATTCTTCTCCTGTTATACAAGCCAGATTTGAACACTGGAATCTTTCAGACAAGGCAACTCTCACGTTGAGATTTGAGCTGGTACTTGGTTTGCTGCTCAGACCAGTAAGCATGAGCAGTTAACACCCTGTCTAGAAGCTCCTGAGGTACTGGCTCACCTCTCCTTTGTTCAGGGGATATTCTAGCAGTGTGCACCAGTGTCTTCCACTTGTCCTGGAAAATTCCCCGTGTCACAAAACCAAGACGTCAACAAATGCATTGGGTTAAGAGAATATAGAATTGCTCTTAGATCCAACACGAGCACTGAGAGCTATTGGATTACTCAGGTTCATTATGTATAAAGCGAGGAGGTCCCGCATGGATAGAGACACCATTTGGTGCATAACATGATATGGTTAATAGGAAAAATCATCGATGACACTAAAAGATTCATCCCTACTTCATTCCATAAATAAAGACATTAAGCACCTAACCATTTGTCATTCAGATGATTGATATTGCCTCGAGCCCAAATTTAAAAGTTGTCTTTTGGGCAGTTAATAGTAACAAAAATGGAAATTAAACCAACTAACTCAGTAAAAGTGGAACGATGACATTAAGCTGAAACAAAAAATGGAAATGATATCACGAGTATAAAAAGCAATGGAAAGCCAAAGAATTACATGCATGAAGAAAGCATCAGCTGCTCACCTTCAAATCCACATAAGTTCTATGTTTCGCATTATCAAAAGCTCTCAGCTTAACATCACGCCATCTGCCGAAGAAAACCACCAGAGTGCAAAAGAATAAAGACAGTGAACAAAATCAAAGAAAACAAAACAGATCCAGCAGCACATAGAATAACATACACAGCCTTTTCATGCATCCTTTAACAATTTATGCATTTCATAGCTACATCTCCGTTAGCACAGCTTGCGGAGCAAGAAACCACCACGTTTCCTATAATTCCATATTTAGGTTTCTGATGAAATACCTTCCTGTTCCAAGCTTCTCAACAGCCTGAACCAATGCTTCCACTTCAGACACAGTAAAAGGCCGACGCATTCGACGCTGTGCTGACTCAGATTGCTTAGATATGTGCATGGGAACAATAGCCAGTGCCTCTCTCATTTTAGGAGCAGCAACCAGTGCTCGTGAACCCGTAGGGGTTTTCTCTAACAACATATCAGGAGTAGAAAGAGCTGAATCATCATCGCTTTCCGGGAAATTCCTGAAGTTACCTCCTGCGGGATCCGTAAGAGCATCCAAACTTTTCTGCTCAACAGCATCTTGAACCACATTGGCAATAAGAGGGCTCCTGGTGGCATACCATAGATAGAAGATTGTGAGACCAAGTAAACAAACTGTCACTCAACAGATATTATAGCACACCAAGAATACCTTGCTCGTGGTTGTGGAGAATCACGAGGAAGTTGGAAAGGATCTTCTGGACAGTGTGTAGGGAAAGTTTGAGTAGTGGGCTCCAGCGTAAAACCCAGAGCATCTGATTTGTTATCACGAGAAATTCCTGTCTGCAATAAAGTTCTGTTATCATCTTTAATCTTTTTACCCTGGAGAAGCATGCCAACATGTAGTCCATCACCGAGTATTGAGGTCACAGCTTTCATAACGGTCCTCTGCATACAATTTAAGAGCAAGAAATTATAAGCTGTTAGCTGAAATTAGTTGAATACAAATCAAATTGATGTACCAAAAACGAAGAGCAGAACATGACACTGGGAATACATCAACCGCTGAGAAATTAAAAAACCTAAAAGTGGAAGGAAAATGCAATTCCAAGATTGAAGGCAGGAGAACCAAAAAATATTTTACACCACTATAATGACGATACAGCCTATAAGAGCATATCAGAAAGTCAAGATTTGTTGATCATATACCTTAAGAGACCCAACAGTCGCTGTTTCTGGAAGCTCAATAAAAAGATCAGGAACCCTGAAAGACTTGATCTTAAGCTTCACTGTGTGAAAGGAAAAATATCTCTATATGAGAACATCATTGATGTCAGGTTTAAACAGAAGACAAAAAACGTATTACTCTATCGAAGGTTCACATACCATGTGAATTCCTGGACTGGAAGGGCGAACATTCACCTGCTGAAGAAGTGGGAGTAGCATTCACTACATTTGGCATAATAATAATTAAATTTGTGTTCATTAACTCCAAGAAAAATTATAAAGTACAAAATGTGTGTGTGTGTAAGCGTGTGCGCGCGACAGCATGCAAGAGTATGGATGAACCTCCAGGCGATGCAGGACCAGGGAGCAGGGCAGCTCCTTTCGAGTCATTCTCAGAAAAGCTACATATTCCATCGCTGTTAATGAGTACATCAGAATTACGGGCTGAGCAACAGTAAAAAAGCTTTCTTTTCTTGAAAGGGTAATCCCTCTGAGATATTTGGCGTCTATATCTGTTCTTTGTGTTCAGGAAACTACATCTTTTTTTATCTGAAGACAACATCAAATTAAATACACATCTTTTTTTATCTGAAGACGAGATCAAATTAAATACATCATCCAGACTGCATGAACATATCTCTGTCACTTTTAAATTAAAGCAATTCACGAAATCTTACTGGCATTATAACCTTCCCCTTTCAGATTTGAAGTCGCTTTACAATGCTTAGATGCTAGTGACTTCTTAATTCTCCAATCTCCACCATCTGACAGAGGCCTAATGGCCGTGTTTGCATTTGTAGGTTGAGTGCACCTACGAGATTTTTCTTCATTATCTCTAGTAACTATCTTTACACCCTCTGAATTAAAAGGGAAAGAACCAAAAGACATGTGGCCCCTGCAAGAGGGAAATTTTATACTATTTGGTGATCTAACTAATGCAGACTGCTTACTTTCCCAAGTCTCTGGACAGCCAGGACTGCACATATCATCCCTACTACTTATTGACAGATTCCTATAAACTTTGGATTCCATTTTTATCTGTTTTTCACTTTCACCATCTAATCTACAACCAGCGGACATTCTGCAACCAGACGACCGAACATCTAGTTTCTGAGCGATAATCCCGAGTCCAAGCTTGCATTCATCATCAGCCAACTTTCGCGAGCACTCAGAAGTTATTACAGATGCAGGCAATGAGCATGGTTCATTTTGAAGAGATGTAAGTTCATTTGAACAAAAATTTGAAACAGGAGCTTCTGAGACCTGCTCTGTAAAGAGAGAACTCTGATCACAGACGTCTAGATCACAAGATTTTGCTATCAAAGGTTTATATTTGGCCTGTTCTTCTGTAATTGAACCTGCCACAACTGTCTGCTGCTCTTTACCAGAATACATATCCACAGGTTTTGGGGAAATTCCCCCCTCCATGAGTAACTTATCAGCTACGGTAGCCAATAAGTCAAATGCGCCTAATTGGTGGTCATCAGTTTTGCTTTGAAATATGCATCTCCTCTAAGACAAAGTGAAAATTTAACATGAAAGCGAGTAAGTGTTTAAGAACCATAAGCCATAAAAAAAAAAAAATAATAATAAATAAATAAAAGCTGTCCAGGAAGGTCTGTCTAGTTACCCTGGCAGATCTGGCAGCTCGGGGTATGGGAGGCACCTCATAGCCACTAAATCCATAATCTAGCTTCTTCTGCAACGCCATATCTCAGTAACCATACCATAAAGAATTTCATAAAAGCAAAACAGCAGCCCCCAATTACACTTCACAGTATAAAATCCAACATCGAAGTGCATCCACTAGTCACTAATGCAAGGAAAGCCCAAGTGCAAGAGACCCTGCCAACATTAGCAGTGAAAATTATTTGAATCAAAGTATCAAGTTTGGGATAAATCAAACTAGAACAAACCCACCAGGAAAATGGTGAAAACAAAATATTCCGACAACTGCCAGATGGTTGAGACTATATGGATGCATATGATAAGGCAGTTAGTTATGTTCTTTAGTTGCACTCACTGGACAATATAGTAACACTATAACTTCCATATCGAACACATAAATTCAAATACGGAGTATGGTAATAATGAAAAGCTACTAATTTTGTACAGTTATTAGCCATAACAGAATTTGGTTTAAATATAAAAGCGTCTTACATCATAAATCCACATATTCCATCCAAACAAAACAAAAATAATAAATTTGGAAAGATAACCACTGATAGAAACGAAAAATTTACTTCTACAGTGGAAATATAAAAGGAGTATTATTCATCTCAATTGTATTGAAATCAATCTCAAAAAGTTAACCCAACTTAAAAACTATTGTAACCACAATCACTTTGAACTTCCTATAAAATCACCAATTAAAAAACAATTGAGGGAACCAAGATCCCGCGCACAAGTGATCTAAAGAACTAAAAACATTGAATCAGATTAGCATAATCAGAATAAAGCAGATTCACATCCGGCAATTAAAATCTAAAATGACGAGTGAAGAAAAAAGAATGGAATGCATGCATTCTCGTAACATGAATGGATGTACAGAATTCACATATATAACACATGAATATAGCCATAAACCATAGAAAATGAAATTTTGAGGCCACCTTATCTGAATTAGCATATTAATTTCGTAAAAAATGAAAAAAATTTAACAATTCCAAATCCATCACTATTTTCCCAAAAATTATGTACGCCAAACAAAGGATGGAGAAGGAAAGAACATAATAAAACCCTAACAAAACCATAACCAAAACATTCCCCAAACGCATTTGCCATGCTAAAAACCTGATTGTTTCATGCATCACTGAACTTTAAACGTATACGTATGAAATTACATACATAAATAATGATCTAAAAGAAGCAATAATCGGAACTATTTTGAACAACTCAAATGGTCCAAAAGAAAATAGAAACAAAGCAAAATGAACTGATCAAGACAATCTTTTATAATCTATTTAATTTGAAAACAGGCATGGAAAAATTCCACAGATTGAGAGCAAAGATCTCTTTTTCTAGAAAAAACGGTATCTAAGTGTATGTCAAAACAACTCATAAATGGCTCGTTTGTTTGCTGAATTCTGAAAAAAATCTAAAACTGATCCCAAAACAAACTCCCAAAAATTAAAAATTTTCGTTCACTTTACCAAAATATCTTAGCATCGAATGGAGGTTTTGAAGCAAACACTCAATTTACCTAATTAAAGAACAACATGACAAAGAATACATATATATCACCTATAAAACTGCAATTTCCCGTCAATACCACAAGAATTTTCCAGCAAAATTCCGCATTATTTTTCCTAGAGAACAAATCCCTGTAGAATTTTGCTTAGAAGAGGAGCAGTATAATGCAAGATCGGAGGATTTTTTTCAAACAACAAATCTAAAAGGAATCCGAATTTTCATTTCGATCGTACCAAATTCTCTCTCCCTATCAAAAATCCATATAAAAACATATTTTTCCTTTATATTTTTATTCCCCACTGAATAAATTGCCAAAACCCCCTGAAAACACCCCGACCATTGCTTAAACCCCAATTCTTTATACCACGCACTCCTCCCACCTGACCCATGGGTAACCGTAGGGATATAAAAGGTTCGATTTTATCGATTTTTGATATATTTTCAAACAAAATTGTTTAAATTGGTTTGAGAAAAATTCAAATCTAAACCAAACCATTTTGAACGGTTTAAAAAAAAAACTTAAATTTAAACCTAACGATTTGGTTCGATTTTAAACCGTCGATTTCGCCATATAATTTTTTGTCCGTCTACTTTTATGTCATTAATTCATTGAATTCAATATATATTTATATTTTATTAGAAATAAATCTAAAACAAACTAAGCACTTGTTTGAACCAACTTTTTGTGAACAAAAAAATGAAAATTTGAACCGTTGTCCCACGAGTCTAGCCGCCTTTGTTGACTTACTATTTCATGTGTGGGACCCAACCTCCTCTTCAACGGTCATTTTTTTCGTTATGATGATATGGAAAATATAGCTTAAACAGGGGCTAAATATATATATATATAATAAATTTAAATACCAACTAAATCAAAATAAAATCAAATAAACTAAAACATTGTTTTTTTCATTTTTGTTCACATTTTTTAGGTTAATAACGATATCATAACATTACAATACAAGTATCCTAAACTAAATATAAGACCCAAAAAATATAATGATATCCAATAAGACCTCGTGATCATTGTATTTGAGAAAAGAATACTGATTAGACAAAGAGAATAACCAATCATAATAATAAAGTAATTGTTTATAATATCTAAACATAATAATTACACAAGTTTACGTTTGTATGATATTACGTAACACATTTAATTTCAGATTTTTACCTTAGTTTGCTCCAAAAAATTATTAATCTGAAATTTTATTCGTAGCAAATATTATCACTAAAGGTTTAGAATCTCTTTGTCTCCGATTTGCTATAATGGATTTCAATTCAACTTTGAAGAGGCATGAAACATCTGAAAAAGAAGTGTGTGGTGTCGATGACTCAAGACTGTGTTAGGTATCGGCTGGAGTTCATTTAAATTCTGAAGAGGAAAATAACTTTTGATAGATTATGTTAGTCTTGAGATTATTATATATATATTAGGATTATTAGATAATAATAATGATAATATATTTATATTAGAAAATTAGAAATTGACAAAAATACCTACAAATGACAAACTATTGAATTTTACATATTTGGATGAATTTTAAAAAAAAATCATTTTTTTCAAATTTGTTATATTTTTTCGCTGGTTCGATTTGGTTTTAAACCACAATTAAAATTCTTAAATTTAAACCAAACCATTTTGACCGATTTGGTTTGGGTCAAAATTATTTCGTTGACCAAGTCCACGTGGTACCAAATCGACGGTTTCTAAAATACGATTTCGGTTCGATTTTCCGATTTGGCGATTTTTGCTTACAGCCCTAGGTAACGGCCCCTGAATCGACCGGCTATTGCGAGTTGTAGCAAATAATTGCCTTAACCCCCATTTGGCCCCCATTTTTTGAGAAATGAAAATATGTGAAATAATGTTTTTTGAAAAATGAATGATTGAAAAAGAAGGAAAAATTTTCAATTTACATGTAATATTATTTTATGGATAATTTTGTGATTGAAAATATGAGAGAAAAATAGAATGTACTGGAATATAAATTAACTGGGGCCAAACGGGGGCTAAAGACTTCTTCTTGTGTGGGCCCATATGTGTACAGGATGGTGCCATGTGGAGGAAGTTTGGAATCGTGTGGTGAAGCCAGGTTTGGACCGTCAAGAAAAACGTCAACTCACTGATGTTTAAAATGTCAAGTGTTAGTCACTGAATTTAGGTCAATGTCTTCAATTGCTCATTGAACTATGTCCACGTCTTGAATTGCTCAATGAAATTTAAAATGTCAAGTTTTGGTCACGGAACTTTGGAATATGGTGTACGTTACTCACTAGTATAACTGTTGAACTTTGAAAAATATCGAATTTACAGTGAGTAGTATAAATCATTTTTCAAAGTTCAGTGAGTAATGTATAATATTTTTCAAAATTCAGTGAGTAATGTACATATCTCAAAGTTCAGTGATCAAAACTTGACATTTTAAATTTCAGTGAACAATCGAAGACTTAGACTTAAGTTCAGTGATCAAAATTCGACATTTTAAATTTCAGCGATCAATAATCTAGGTTTAGTGATCATTGGAACAATTAACTCCTAATTTTGTGCCAAAATTCATTTTGGACAGTTAATTTTANATATATTTATATTAGAAAATTAGAAATTGACAAAAATACCTACAAATGACAAACTATTGAATTTTACATATTTGGATGAATTTAAAAAAAAAATCATTTTTTTCAAATTTTTTATATTTTTTCGCTGATTCGATTTGGTTTTAAACCATAATTAAAATTCTTAAATTTAAACAAAACTATTTTGACCGGTTTGGTTTGGGTCAAAATTATTTCGTTGACCAAGTCCACGTGGCACCAAATTGACGGTTTCTAAAATACGATTTCGGTTCGATTTGACGATTTGACGATTTTTGCTTACAGCCCTAGGTAACGGCCCCTGAATCGACTGGCTATTGCGAGTTGTAGCAAATAATTGCCTTAACCCCCATTTGGCCCCCATTTTTTGAGAAATGAAAATAGGTGAAATAATGTTTTTTGAAAAATGAATGGTTGAAAAAGAAGGAAAAATTTTCAATTTACATGTAATATTATTTTATGGATAATTTTGTGATTGAAAATATGAGAGAAAAATAGAATGTACTGGAATATAAATTAATTGGGGCCAAACGGGGGCTAAAGACTTCTTCTTGTGTGGGCCCATATGTGTACAGGATGGTGCCATGTGGAGGAAGTTTGGAATCGTGTGGTGAAGCCAGGTTTGGACCGTCAAGAAAAACGTCAACTCACTGATGTTTAAAATGTCAAGTGTTAGTCACTGAATTTAAGTCAATGTCTTCAATTGCTCATTGAACTATGTCCACGTCTTGAATTGCTCAATGAAATTTAAAATGTCAAGTTTTGATCACGGAACTTTGGAATATGGTGTACGTTACTCACTAGTATAACTGTTGAACTTTGAAAAATATCGAATTTACAGTGAGTAGTATAAATCATTTTTCAAAGTTCAGTGAGTAATGTATAATATTTTTCAAAATTCAGTGAGTAATGTACATATCTCAAAGTTTAGTGATCAAAACTTGACATTTTAAATTTCAGTGAACAATCGAAAACTTAGACTTAAGTTCAGTGATCAAAATTCGACATTTTAAATTTCACCGATCAATAATCTAGGTTTAGTGATCATTGGAACAATTAACTCCTAATTTTGTGCCAAAATTCATTTTGGACAGTTAATTTTATGTTTAAAATTCCATTTTAGGTTGCCCAATAAAACCCGAATTCTATGCATAAATATCCGACAAATGGGAAGCCAATGTCGTGCCTTGGCTTAAACTAACCAAAAAATATATTGGTTATAGCTACAAGTTAGCTTAAGAGTTGAAAATCATCCACTTTTCCAATATATATATATATATATATTGATGTCTCGAGCCACAAGACAGGATCTCCATTCTATGAGTTAAGTGGGACGAGAACTGAATACATGATCACTAATTCGAATTTTGTGAACGGAATGGTAAATAGGAATATTTTAATCTTTATCCGGATTTTATCCCACCTCATTGTCATCCCTAATAATCTCGAGTTTAGATGTATAGACCTCGACATTGGGTTTTTTTACACTTTCAAGATTTTTGGATAGCATCAAACTGAATTAATGAGAAAATAAAAGTCGTATCTATTATCATTTTAGTCATGTCTAGTATTGAACGGTAAACGTGCACTGCATGTTAAAAACGTAAAATTTGAATAAATTTGGACGTGAGCGAATAATAGGTAAATATAACAGTGCAAAAGACTAAACTGCCCTTTTGCTTTGGCTAATACCTTAATGTTGTGGACATGCCAACTTTCTCAATTATTTTGTTTAGTTCTATTAAGTTGATCGTGACAAACATGTTTTGATTACCAGTAAAGTGAAGGAAATAAATTGAATACCTAAGTTTAGATACTCAAATTTTGTAAACCATGACTCGAAAAAGAAGCAGAAAATGGTATAATATATAGAAACAATTTTACAAAAATAGATTATATGGTACCCAATTTTAAGATATTAATAGAAATGATTATTTTTATTGTAGGAAAGAACAAGAATATTATGATCGGACAAATCCGGATCCATTCGTTTTTCACCCTTCAAATCCAAGTCACAACCAAAAAGGGTAATCTCGTCATTTCACTTTCGCACTTAAGTAGTCTCCACGATAAGCATGTTATCATTTACACGTATCGAATTAAAATTAAAAATATGTTGCGAGCACTGTAATCATTGCCATGTCAGATAAAAGCGGAATCCTGCGTGGCATTAGCAGTACCCTGTTTGACTATTTACCTGCATTTATCTCAATTAATCATACTTGTATGTTACTTCAAGTTTGATAGTTTGCTACATGGCAAACTATCATTTGTCAATTTAAAAAAAAAAAAAAAAAAAAAAATTTATTTTCCCGCCTACATATTTTTTGAAAACAAAAAGAATGTCAAGAATGATGTGAAGGAGGAATGTACAAGTTACAAAATCATATCTCAAACCCGAAGGAAGTGATGAAAATGAGGTTACATGGCAAGTGGCCAATGGAGGTAGATAATGATGGTTAAATGTAGGGGTGAAAATGTGTCGAGTTGGGTCGACATGATTCCTAGATACTAGACCTCGACTTTACCCTATAGTCGAGCGAATCTTAAGTTCAACTAGACACTTTGACTCGTGGGATGGGTCAACTAATTTTTTTAAAGAAATTAATAAAATAAGCCAAAAACGAACAAATTAATAACAACGTCCAAATCCAAGTCAGTCCATGAGCCCAAAACGAGTATACTCAACTCGTGAAAAAAGTGAGATCAGCTTGATTCATGACAAG